TTCAGCTTTCTAGCTTTTCTGGTTCGCGAGTTATCAACTAACCCGCAAAAAACTTTGGCGGGCTCTTACGTAGGTACCATGCAGGTAAGACCGCCCATTTTGGGGATGGACGCCCACACATGCATATAGATTAAGTCTCCAAAGTTTCTGTCCTGTAGCTTTTGTCGGTCTCGAGATGAAAAATCGGTTCGGAGGCCCAGCGCACAACAGACAACCTCTCGTCAATATGCGTTTTCCGCACTGCATAGCTGCAAAAAACGCGCAAAAATTTGGGGGACAAGAGCTTCCCTCAAATCCGTGTTTACTCGGTACTTGCAAAATAAAGATGTCAGTCATAACACATTAAAAAAAGAACAAAATTATTTAAAAAACTAGATGAACAGGGATGTTGCGGTTCATCAAGTCATGGACATTCTTATTTGGCACCACAAACGCGCCTCATCAATGCGGCTATTGTAGTGTTGATAAAATAAATAAATAAAATGAAACTTATTTGTATGTGAAATTGGTCACAATTTTAAAAGTTAACGCCGGATTCAATTAAAAGAAAATCACATAAGCATGAATACAGCGCACTACAGGAAGGCATTAGCGTTAAGAATGTTACTGGCAAGCTCAAGACTTTCTTATTTTATACTACGCTTATGTAAAACACTGCAGCACTTCTCACATGAATAAATCTATATCTGATGACAACATCTCCTCTGAACAATTTTATGGCATTTATAACTCAAGGTATGTTCTGTGTTCATATATTTTGCAAGTTCGGTCACGCCACTGACTTTGTCAAAACAGAATTTCATTAATTTCACCGCTAGACACTGTCCACTTACAAAATTTTGATGCTTCTGCTACTCAAATTACTTTTCTTAGCTAAGCATTCTGCTATCCCGTCTGCTAATAGGCTCCGCTGCTTCAAGAAAATCTTTTAAAATTATTTGAAATAATTATCAAATGCATTCACGAAAAACGTAAGTGACCTCGGCGAATTCAGCGTGAATCACAAGCGGCTCCCGTGTAACTGGCGCAGCAAATTCAGGTACCAGTACTTCATGAGATATTTCTGATTCCATCGACCTGAACAATTTCGATTTCTCAATAAATTTTTCAAAATTTATTGAGAAATGAGATTTCTGAATAGAAACGAAGCAGCTGATCAAACCATAAGCAACTGATTAAGCTTGGATGTTCTCGCTCTCGAAAATTAGTAATTGGCAGTAAAAAACCCAGGCTGGAACACACCAGGCTCTCCGGTACAATCATGCGTTTTCGCACTAAACTCGCAGATCGCTATTAGCAGGAATGATCCCTACGCTGTAGCCTAACACTTGGGCTCA